TGACGCAATTTTTTTATACGCGTTTTATATATAAAAAGTATTCACAAATACATTTTGCAATTTCATCAAATTTAATGATTCGCTCATTTTTACTTAAGAAATACCAAAAATTTGGAGAAAGAAACAAATAAAAGCAAGCAAATAAAGCAACCTAACCTCGCTTGTTTACGCTTCAACAGCTGTTTATTCATTTTGACAGCTGTTATTTTCTGTTAGTAAAATCTTTAGTTGCAGTAATTATCAGGAGAGGCAAAAAAGAAGAGCGTAAGAACGAAAGCCGCAGTTTTTTGGGTTAAGAAACGCTTTCCAGCAAAAAATATTGATAATTATCTGTAAAGAAACAAACTAATATCATGAAGAATACAGAACAACGCATATATACACATAAATTAAAGAAAACCAAAGCGAGTGGATATTAGAGAAAAATTAGTGGTTATTGCTTAAAGGTATAATAAATACATGGATTTCAGTACCAAAAGAACTGAAATCAGCAAAGGCAAATATTTTCTCTATTATTGCTGCATTATATTAATTGCTGACTCAACAGCCTTCTTCTGCATCAAAGCAACTGTCAAAAATTTCCAACAGTAAAAAGTTACGAATTGGCACAGCAGAAATGTAAAATTTTCTCACCATAGTAAAAAGTTTTTTCACCATAGAACTTTTCTACTGATTGGCACAGGCCCTACGCAGAAATGTGTTCTCCAGTGATCGGACTTCTACCACATTGTGGTAGATCTGTCACTGTTTTGAGCATCTACCACATCTACCACAAAAGGTCTGAAATCTACCACATATTCGCGTTTTTGAGTACCTAGTTTAATTTTTGCTCGACATAATTTTCTTAAATTTAAGAGCAAAAATTGTCCAACACTAAGCACTATGTTGTAACAAGAATGATGAAATTTCTCAAGTAAAAGTAAACAAAGCTGAATGGGAGGATAAAATAAACTGTGAAATAGTATACATATATTCTCAATAATAAATTTTTCGACAGGAAACGTGGTTTCATTATGCTAAATTGCAAAATATGTATATGATATATATTATATAGAACTAATGGCGGTAATGTTAAAAAACGGCGATTTTTGTGAAAGTATTAGCAAATTTCAGTGCATCTAAAGTTTCTGAGGCATTGTTTACATTTACTTGAGAATTGTGAAAATCGGCAAATCCCAAGTAACGGTTTCTGTAACGTGCCACATTTGTTCGCTACATCGTGATGTGATGGAAAGAAAAGCTGGCAGCACTCCGCAAGGTTGCAAAATATGTATGTTCAAAAAATATTTTGATATGGAAGGAACTGCTTTACACTGTCAAGGAAAAAAATTGCCAAAACTCAACGCAATTTTTAGCAACTTAAATCTTGCACTTTGTTATACTAAAATTAAATTTTTTTAGAGTCTAATTAAAAAGTTTGATATTTAGGTGACACCTTGCAGAATTTTTTTAATTTCTGTACAAAATTTGATCCAAAACCTGAGATCTACCACATTTTTGAAATCTACCACATTTTTTCCAGATTTTACCACACAGAATTTTTTTTAAGTCCGATCACTGGTGTTCTATGCAAAAGTTGTTCAGCGCCTTTTCTTCGCAAAACAGAAAGAGAATTCTACTTAGTGAGGGTTATAATCCCTAAGCGCGGCCGAAGGCCGCCTACGCAGAAAGGTGTTCTCTGCAAAAGGTGTTAGCCCCTTTTCTTCGCAAAACAAAAAGATAATTCTACTTTGTGAGGGTTATAATCCCCAAGCGCGGCCGAAGGCCGCCTACGCAGAAAGATGTTCTCTGAAAAAGGTGTTCAGCCCCTTTTCTTTGCAAAACAGAAAGGAGAATTCTACTTAGTGAGGGTTATAATCCCTAAGCGCGACCGAAGGCCGCCTACGCAGAAAGGTGTTCTCTGAAAAAGGTGTTCAGCCCCTATTCTTCGCAAAACAGAAAAGAGAATTCTACTTAGTGAGGGTTATAATCCCTAAGCGGGGCCGAAAGCCGCCTACGCAGAAAGAAGACCGTCAAATATCGATCATTACAATACCCAACACATGTGTTGAACAAGTGTGTGTTGAGTTGATATTTGTTGAGTTGATGTGTGTTGAGTTTGTGTGTGTTGAGTTGACCTGTGTTACTTAGGCATGTAATCATAACTTCAAGTTTTAAAGCAATCGTGCTAAGAACGAAAAATTAGACGGAAGGGGCACAACGCTGAAATCGATTTGTCTCCAAACCAAAATGAAAGAAAATGACAGAATGCCGGAAGTTAGTTCCAAAAGTGTTCGTCGGGTACACCAGCGATCATCCGACCCAACAACGGCTCTTTCAAAGCTAAAATACTTCATATGGATGAAAATGCACAACACCGTTAGCCAAAAAAGTTTAAAAAATCAATGCAGTTTTCCTGCGTCTTATTAAAATTTAATGGGCTATAAAACTGTGTAACTTAATTTTTTCTAAAAAATCTGAAAAAGGTTTTGAATTTTTGGTGGAATTCGGCCAAGTTTGTTGAATTTTTAAAATTTGTGTACAAAGTTTGAAATGTGGATTTATATGGTGCTTGTTATAATTACATATAATGGGCTAGACTGTAAAAGTACGCCTAAAAGCCGTATCAAGTGTGTTACAGAAATCTAAGCAGGACTTGGTTGTTACTTGAAAGCCAGGTTTCGAGAAAAAAAAGATTATCAGTGACCAAGCAGGAAAAGCATAATCACCATTTCGCAGAAGAACCTCAACATTTCGTGCATGACGTTCAAGGTGCAAAAAGTTGCAGAACGAAACGCTGCGAAGAAAACAAAAAAAAAAAAAAATTAAAACACATGAAAGAATCGATATACACGAAACAATGGGCCAAATATAGTAAAACTGCGTTTTTCGTTTTCACTCTGTCGTCAGGATTTTTTTTTCAAAGGACCTTTAAATTTTAAGAATATGATTCATTAAAAAAATTATTTCAAAAAAATCAGTGCTATTTAGAATATCAACATGGGTACCAAACGAGAGAGAAAACTCTGTAGAATTTAAAAACAATAAAGTTTTTTGGTTTACAAGGACGAATAGGTTTTAAAAATGCGCTTTTATTATATTTTATCTTTTTGAGTTAAAGTTTGCATATTAGTCCTTTAGTTGTATATTAGTCCTCAAACAATAATTAAAAAAAAAAATATTGCAAATGTTCAAGGATATTTAAGGACAAAATTTATAAAGGACATTTTCCATGCCCATTTGTCCTTATGCAACAAAAAATTTATTCTATTATAGTTCTACATAATTTTTTCTTTTATATGATACCCTTATTGTTATCCTACATTACACTGAATTTTTTAAATATTTTTTTGAAATAATCATTTTTTTTAAATTTCAAAGTCTTCTTAAAAAATCCTGAAGCACCCAGGTTTACAATAATTTACCCATAGTTTTGCGAATATATACATTTTTGTGTGTGTAAAATTTACTGTCGCACGGTGTTATTACCACGACCGGTGGTAACTCGCGCTGCGACCTAAAAAAATATATATTGTGTTAAACCCTAATATTCCCGTCAGAATGTACGTCAATACCGGAAAAGTACGCGAAGGAAGTGGCGTACCTAACGTAGAAATACGCCACAATGAAGGTATTGCGTCTAGCAAAAATAATTAAATTTATTGTAAAACTAATTGCATTCGTTTTTTTGATTATCTTTGATTAGTTTTAATTTTTTTCTTCCAAGCGGCTAAAAATACGATTATTTTTTGATTATTTTTAATGGTAATCGGTAATTATTAATTTAAAAGTGGAAATAATGGTAATTAATCATTAGCAGATTTAAAAATAATAATTAATTAAATCGGTAATCATTACAATTACTTAACAGCTCTGCTTGTAATAAAATATGAAAAGTAAATAAAAAAATTAAAAAAGAAAAACCAGTGCGAGAAGTCTTTTTGCATATTTTGTTTGTTTTTAGTGGATATTTTTGAGTTTTTAGTGCATAAAAGTTCGAGCCCTATTAAACACATTTTTCTCATTATCTTCGTCGGTCCATCGACGCAAAGGTTGACAATCTGACGCTCTCTATTCAAACACACACAGTGTACTCAACTGTCAGTTTCATCTTTGAGCGGAACGTACGCAAAGTACACCGATTCTGACGGGCCATAATTGAAATCAGTCCAATTTTAGGCCCTTTAAGAAGCTAAACACTTTGGATGGTGCCATGTTCCAAATTTTGGATGGAGAATATAATCGTTTCCTATTAATTTTAGGTGGGCAGTTACATTGAATATGCTCTGCAAAACCTACAGTCCGGCTCTACAGAGATTTTTCTTGAGAGCTGTATACTAAGTTTAAGGGTTGTCTGGAGTTCTCAAGAAATATCTCAAAAATATTTAACGTTATTTCTGTTGCTAGAAAAAGTAATTTGCTGTTGGTGTAAATTTTCTTGAAGAAATAAATTCATGTGCATTTTTTTCTTGAGAGCTGCATACTGATTTAAGAAATTTAGATTGAAGAATTTTTCGTTTTTCTTGAGAGCAGCAGACAGCCCTTTAGCATGAAAGACGTTTTTTTAAATTTTCATGATTTTTCAGATTTCATTGCATGAAATAAAAAGTCTAATCAAAATCTCAATTTGATAAAAATAGCAAAGATACATTACTTTGAACACATTTTTTATGAACAAACTGTGCACGAATTTCGCACATTTCATAGCTATATAGTTTCACGAATTGGAATTTAATAAGAAAACTGACAGAAAAGAAGAAATCATGTTGTTGTATATAAATTTCTGGTGAAAACGGCACTTAAACTTTGAGTTCAAAAATTTTAATTACATACTTATCAATAAACGCGCGATGTATATGGTTTTTTTTTAGAATCTACAAACGTTTTAAAAACTATTAAACTAAAATTTTTTAACTTATATTTTTTACACTTCTGTACAAACAACTCAAAGTAATACATTTGTATATTAATATTAATTTTTACAGGTAAAGTGCACTCACCATTTCGATTTTTTATTTTTATTTTTTTTTTTACCGATAAGGATGTGCGGCTGGACACAAGCTGAAAATTTTCGAAAGTACAAAAATTAATAAATCAAAATTTGACTTCAATGCTGTAACTAGTTACCTTTTTCGGTTTTGCTGAGTTTTATTTAAGACAAGGCACCAAGCACAGTCAGATGGAGCACGCGATATGTTGACACAAAAAATTAGCAAGCGGCTTATATACCATTGACATGTCAAAGGAGCAATCGCGAATCTTCGTTCCCAACCTCCATCGCCATGATAAACGCTATCCACTGTGGCACAAATAAAAAAAAAAACAAATAAAACAAACGCACCCACAGGGCATGCACACAAATGATATGCAGAAGGGGTGCACAAAAAAAACGGTCGCATACCCTTTTGTGCGAAAAAGAGAAGCAGCTCGTAAATAATACATAGTACAAGTTGCATTTCGGGAAGCTGAAAAGATGCAATATTTCATGAAATTAGTTTGCATATGATTAAAGGAGATTATAAATTAAAATATGCATGTTAATGTGTGTCTTTTCTTTTTTATTCAATTTCTTCAAATTTCAGTTGAGCGGTTACGTTGAAGTGCTTGAAGTTTGAAAACTCAGGAAACTTCAGCAAAATTTTTTGGAATTTCGAGAGTTTCGACCGAGAGTATATACCTCAGTTATGAAGATTTGTCAATTTTACTAAAGTTATTTCATTATACTTTTTTGTTGACTGCAACTACTTTCGTCCTTAATTCATAAATAAATACCGAAATGAGTAACCTCCTTCTTCTAAAGTATGGTTAAGACGAATGAACTAGATTTATTGGTATACATACATATGTATGACATTAGACCGTACCCGAAAAAAAAAATATTCGCCGTCCACCCCTGAGTTTAAAGTATTTTTTGCCAAACGTTGGCGCCGCCTTTTTACATTTTTTGTCATATCTTCAGCATTTGTAATCGGATCTTAAAGTATGATATATACATATATTGATGTTTTTGTCTCGAGGAGATAGTTTTTTTGGTGCAAAGTTCATTGATCTTATGTTCCCCGTTCTAATACTTACCCACCAGATCTACACCCTAATGTCCATAAATTTACAGGGCAATTCTACATTATTATTTTTTTATTTCCTTTAATTTTTGGAATTTATATCTTTATTGATTTTTTGTTTGATTTCTTTTCTAATTTCATTTTCTTTTAATTTGTAGATTATAATTTTAAAAAAAAATATATATTTTTCTCGTGAAAGAAAAAATGTTTTGAGCACATGAAAAATGTGTCATGAAGTGTAGTTTTCGGTGCCTCTTGTTTTTCCCGAAAAAAAATTGTCTAACCTGTAAATAATTGTCTAAACAGAAGCGTGTCGACAAAAAAAGCAGATATTTCGTGAGAAATTGTTGAAAAAAATAAAAATCTTCAAATAAATTTGACCAAATCACTATTTTGGGGGTTCTTGTGATCGCTGAATCCATTATCAGTTTTTAAATTGAAGATAGCTTCTGTAAGTCTTACCGATTTCTACAAAACTATGTCGTGGGGGTATCTTGAATTAAAAACTGACATCGAATTCTTGTCCAGCCACCCCAAGAACATCGAAAATAGTAATTGAATAGAATTTATTTAAAGATTTTTTTTACCTTTTTTGACGAGATATTTGCAAATAGCGACAAACTTCTCTTTAGACAGTGACTTTGAGGTTTGACAAAGAAAAAAAGTCCTATACATATATTTTTAATTTCACACATTTTAAAAAACTTTTTTTATTATTTTTTTTATTTTCATTTAATATTTCCGTTTTATATTATTTTCTTTTAGTTTGTTTTTAAAGAAAAAATATATATATTTATTTTACTTCAATTTTTAGAAAACTTAAAAGTCAAAGAGAAGAACGCTAAGATCTCATCGTTAGTATATCATTTAGTTACTCTTTCGAAAGACGAAAAGAGCTTTCTAGAGAGTTGCCAATCTTACAAAAGACTTCTATTACCAGAACTGACACAGTGAAGCAAAGATTCCTTCGACTTCCCTAATGAATCCTAAAAATCCTAAAAACGTCGAATTTTTTATAACAAAGGGCACGACTGGCGGAAATTGCCTTGCAAAAATACTTTAGAATCTGGGGTGTACGGAGAACTTTTTTTTTTTTTTTTTTTTGTAATGTGATACAGTCTAATGTACGTACACATTTATATGCGCCTTTTCCAAGATAAAAAGTTTGGTTACCCACTCGATTACTTGTTGGGCTGTTAATACGCGGTTAGATATGCACTTGATGCTGATTACAAAGCACCCTGGCAGCAAATGAAGTATCAGAAGCATACATAAATACAAGCAAATATAACGGTAACTAAGTATTATCTTTAATATTCACACAAACTAATAACAATTCGCATGATTTGAGAATACATTTCTTCAAACTTGTTTCATGCACTTGAGGAGGTTACTCACTTCGTCCTGCGTAATTTTCTACGTTCGATGTTTTATACAGGGTGATCAATGTTTAGGATACATCTGGGCCTTTCACTGTAAACCATTTCGAAGAAACAGCAATGAGTATCTACAATAAAAATTCTGAAGGCTATGCCAGATTTCGATTAAAACAAAAAAAATAGAAGTATATTAGGGTATTTATTGTATGTAAAATAAATGCGAATGGATATAATGATGTGTGGTTGACAACCAGTAGAATGAAAATTCCCTGGGTGATAATGCACTAGGTGGAGCGTAACAAACCGTAAGAATCTGTTGATTTTAGATCTCCTGTTCGTTACGTTCCACACAAAATTCACACTCTTGTGTACATATATACATCTCGTGAGAAACACATGTGCGAGCTGCGCTTAGGCCACTCCAATTTACCGTGGCAACATAATGCCGGCGAACGGCGAACTCACCACAGCGAAATTCCCGCTGTAAAAGTTAGAACACCCGCCGGCATATGAAACTGAATACAGCCAAAGCGAAATGCGAAGTTTGCTCGGCGGCGTCAACGACAACATATAACACGAACTACTTTTGTTGGTTGAAAAATACACTGATCGATTCGTTAAATCTGGCTTAAAATAAAATAATTTATAATAATTCCCCCTTGCCTTATATTTATATTTGTTATCATTTCATCATTTCTAAATATAGTTTCGTTTTTCAAAATATGGTCACCTAAATTGTAAGTGCGGCGAAATGGTATCAGCTGTTTTCGCTACCGCTCTAATTCTGTTAAAGTAAGCGAAATAGCAGGGCGAACGGTGAACGACGGCATCGTCCAATTCGGCGAACTTAGCCGTTCGCCGGGTATTGTGTTTCAAGCATTATTCAGTTCAAAGGCTCCGAAATGGATGACATGCGAGCGGCCCTCTCAGCATTGGGCTATAAACTAAGCTTGGGACACGCTGTGTAAAGTTCACAGAACAAAAAATTTTATGTATAGGTCAAATAGCCTTGCCACACGTCTGCGACCTTGGCAATTGAAACAAGGACTGGATTTACGGACGAGCGCCTGGAATGTTCGTACTCTCTACATCACCGCAATATAGGAAACTTGAAGTACAGGATCTCGTTTCTGTAACAATTCTCTACCAAGGCGAATTGAGATATGAGTGGCGAATTCTCTGTTCTCTACTGCTAATGAGTATTAGATAATGACGTATATCCTCTACTAGTAGAGAAATAATCGGTAGAGAAAAGTTACAGAAACAAGCTACCGGACATGGCTTTAAGATAAGATACGAAAACAAATTTTAAGTAGGATTTGTAGTTGGTCTTTGACACCCTGTTTTCAGGCTCACCGTCATTAGTGAACGAGTTGCGATTTTGTGCTCGTGCCCCGACGGAGAAGGCGAAGCAGAACGATGAGGCCAAAAACACGATAACAAAAGATTCCGGAAGAAGAAGAGCATACAACTCAACGCCTTTGAATAGCGGCACAGATGTAACGTTCGAGGGTGGGAAACCCAGACCAATATATAGCACCGGTATTCACATCCGTTCTCTCTATCAAGACAAGCTGAGAACAGCAATAATGCGGTTTAAAAAGAAGACCCTTAGAGCAGATGATATACTGGCTAAGCTGTTCAACACAAACGCCGAATAATTGATGGGCTCCTCTCAGACTTTATTAGTAGTTCTGAAGCGCAATTGTGTCTGATAAATACTTATATGAGCGAAGATTGGAATATCACAAGAAAGGAAATATTGCTTTTTGCACCAACTACCTGACATTATGTATAACAATCCAATCGACGAGACTGCGTGAAAGACTGGAGCGTTTCATAAGCACACTGATTGAGTGCGGTTGCAGACTTTGAAATTTCACAATTTTTCAGCAAAAAAGACCTTAACTGGATAATCAAATAGCTTTTTGGTCGATTCTAAAGCCGGCTTTGAGAACCTTAAGAGAATTCGCCTCTACGAAACCATGTCTAAAATTTTCGATGCCGGAACCTCTCCGAATTTTTCCAAACCAAAGGACGCTTTAGACAAGGCGCCTCATTTTTAATTTGCTGTTGAAACGCCGATTACCTACAGTGCCTCGAATATGAAATCGAAGAGGCCATCGAGTATAAGAAGGCAATTTCTTGGGAATGGAAGGGACTTTCAATAATGCCTGCCTACAAATCTAGCTCGAGGATAATGTCCAAAAATATTATAAAACTCACTGTTAGGTCAGATTGTAACTTTGCGTCCTTTAACCATTCTTCACGAGTGTGTGTACGTTGTCTTTAGATATGCAAACCGGATAATTAAGCTGGTTATGGGAAAGTCGTTCGTGGTTTGGCGTTAAACTCGTGTACCCATGAGAGCATAAACCTGTCAAAGGTTGTTCTTGTAACATTCACAAGTATTCTGACAAACTTAACTATCATAGAATAGCTCTAGATAAGAAGCTAAACAAGACTCTTTAAAAAAATGGACGAAGCACAATTGCCTATAGAAGAATTTTTGGTCGGGAGTTAGGTCTGTATTCAAAATTGATATACAGTGGCTGCCAAATAAATATGAGCGCGACATTTTAACAAGTTTTGACTATTTTTCTTCGTTTATTTAATGTTTATTCCAATTTTTTATACGAATTTTTAGAAAAAAAAAATGTGTTTGTAGTTTTGTAGCCCATTAAATTTTACTTTAGTAAAATGCAAGTTTTAAATCGCTGAGAGTTACCGTTGATTTTTAGAATTGTAATATATCTTTTTTTCTGACGGTTTCACGCATTTCTTGCATGCCAAGTACTTATATATATATCGAAAATTTTTTATATGGAGAAAAATGCACCGCACTGTCAGCAAAAGAAATAATTGCCAAAAATCAACGGTAAGTC